AGCCGGTTCTCGGGGGGCTGACAGAGCCTGGAGAGCGGCTGTGAGCAGGATGGCAGGGCCCAGGGGGTCTCCGAAAGGGCCGGGAGAGAACTGAGGGGTGGGGTCTCTCCTGGGACCACAGAGGCTGGGGACTGAACGCGCCACTGGGGGGACGGGAACCCCCTCTCTTCTTGGCTCCCCGGGGCAAGAGGGCCGAGCCCCCCAAACCCTTCTCGGGGCGGGGGGCCGGAGGAGCGTGGCCGGAGGTGGGAGGTGGAGGCGGCCGCTAGTGGGGGCCCGGGGGGCGGCGGGCGCGGTCGGTGGCAGCGACGGGGCTGGCGGTGGCTGCTGGCCCGAGCATCTTCTTCCCGGAGGCTCCCACAGCGCCTGGCCCCTCCTACCCCGCGAGGTCACGCCCATGCCGGGTAGGGCCACGCCCTTCGGCGCCCCCATTGGTCCATCCTTGAAGCCTGGACCACGTCTCTCGGAGTTGGCCACGCCCCTCCCGGCGGCAGAGATCTGGACCGGACTCCCCCAGGCTGCTGGGGAGGAACCCGGACTCCTCCAAGCCGTCCCTACTCCTCACCTTGAATGAACGTTTATTGAGCACTTACTGTGTGCCAGGTCCGGTTCCAAGCAAGCACGTCACAGACGTTATCGCATTTAATCCCCAGAACGACCAGCTCTGTGAGGTACACTTATTATCCTTATTTAACGGATGAGGAAACAGCTTCGGGAACTTACTTGAGTTCACCTGGTCAAGATAAGAAATTTTGGCTGGGTGCGGTGGTTCATGCCTGTCATCCCAGCACTTATTTGGGATGCTGAGGCGTAAGAATCACTTGAGCCCAGGAGTTTGAGACCCGCTGGGCAACAACAGAGTGAGACTCCATCTCTACCAAAAAAAAAAAAAAAATTTTTTTTTTTAGTTAGCCGGGCGTGATAGCACATGCTTGTAGTTCCAGATACTCTGGAGGCTGAGGTGGGAGGATTGCTTGAGCCCAGGAGTTTGAGGCTTCAGTCAGCCATAATCAAGCCAGTGGATTCAATTCTGGGAGACAGAGCAAGACCTTGTCAAAAAGAAAGAAAGAGAAAGAGAGAAAGAAAGAGAAAGAAAGAAAGAACGAGAAAAGAAAAAAGAAAGAAAGAAGAAAGAAATAGAGAAAAAGAAAAAGATTTCGCTCACTCTTTCAATCCTTTCAGCTGGGAAATTCCCCTTCAAATCTTTCATCCATCCTTTGAAGAATCAACACCGTGATGCTGAAAGGACTCAGAGGACTGAATTCACTGAGCTGAAGTTGAAGCTTGCAGCACCAAGCCTGGGGGACACCTGGCTCTCCATTCAATCAACAGCCCTTAGAGCCTACCTACTAAGCGCCAGGTACTGTCCCTGATGCTGCTATACAACAGGGAACAAAACAGACTTGGCCCTTGTACAGTATAACTATTCATGTCATTAAGAAAAATTGGTTTTCAGATGACAAAGTGGAGGCCTGGGAACATCGAGTATGGCTTGTCCAAGGGCACACAGCTTGAGAGAGAGAAACTGGGATTTGAATGCAGGACAGGTCCAATTTCAGACCCCGAAGTCATTGCAACTAGGGGCCCTTCTTTGGAATGGACCATTGCTAATATTCTGTGTTCTTTGATATAAGAATTTTCTTCTTCCTGGATTCCTAATCTCCAAGGAATCTTTCTTTCCTGGGTTGGTCAGAGGCAAGATTAGGCTCTGAGGGGGTCTGGATGTGGGTAATTGTGGCCACTGTGGGATCTGTGGCAGGGGGATCAGCTCTAACCCGCCCCCTGCTTCTCCCTTGCCATGGTCTCAGGTCCCCAGGATGGGGGGGTAGCAGATGGCCTGGGGTGGATGGGGTGACTACCCATCTGTCCCCTCCCCCTCATTGTCCCCAGAGACAAGGGGGATGGGAAGGGGCTGTGGTCCACTGCAGTCTGGATCCTCCCCCTCCATCTTCCTGGAGGGAGCGGAGGAGCTGGTTGCCATGGAGATGAGGAAGAGGCAAGAGAGATGTAGGGACATACTGGGGGTCAGGCTGAGTTCCACACCTTAGTCCCTTTGAGTTAAATAGCCTCACACCACACAGGAACATATCCCAACATCCATGAAGTTAGCTGTGAAGTTTCCCCTTCTGTGTGCCACACACGGAGTCACACTGGCCCTGCTGCAGGTACACAGGTGCACCATCTCAACACAGCTTCACATAGACACACTCACAGGGGATAGGCACAGACACACACACACTCATACATACTCATCTGTAATGCACATTCAATCATGCAGATGCAAAGCCACAACACAGGCTCTCATGCACAAATAGACACACACATCTAATATGCAGGTACGCCCCAGGTGCTCATATTCAGAGCCATGACAGCTCCACACTTGGCCCCACACACACTGAAAAGTTACAAATCCATGATCAAAGCCACAGGACATCCACTGCCTATGTTACATAAGACATATCAGCAACATGTGATGTACAGACTGACGAACAGACTCAGTCATGCCTTGCACACAAATTGGGTAAACACACACATTTAGATACACAGCCCACATAGGCTAACACACACAATAACCGGACTTCACGGGCCACACAGTGACAAGCACAACACACATGGAATGCTGTGTGCCACTCAGCCCCCACCCCCAAGTCATGCCTGCAGCCCCAACCCTGCGCTCCCCCTTCGAGCCCTCCCGTTTGGACACACGCAACAGCACGGTCGGTCACGCACTCACACTCACACACAAACACAAACCTCCTGCTAGATATTTTTAAACCCAGGCTAGTTCTGCTGCCATGGCAACCGCCCCAAACCCATCACCATAGCAACCCAACGTCAGCTTTCCAAGCACCAAATCCTGGGGGACTGCAGGGCCCCAATCAGAGGCTGGCGGAGGGGGCTGTTGCACCCTCACCATCATCCATGCCACCCCTGCGTTGCCACCTCAGAGCTTTCAGGGGAGCAGTCACCCTAGTCTGGGCAGAGGCCAGAGTCAGGAACAACAGAGACTCAGACCAAGCTGGGGTAGGGGCATCCCTGAACTTGCCTTTTCCTTCCACCCTGGCAGGAGCTGTATGGAGGAGCCCAGTGGAGTGAAGGTCAGCCTGCACAAGCCTGGGTTTGAGTTCTGGCTCTGCCACTTAAATGCTGTGTGACTTGGGCATGTCCTTACCCTCTCTGAGTCTCGCATTCTTTAGTTTGGAAAATGATGCTGTTAATATCCCCTTTATTTTTATTTCCATTTTTGGTATTTTTAGTAGAGACAGGGTTTCACCACACTGGCTAGGTGGGTCTCGAACTCTTGACCTCAGGTGGTCCACCCACCTCAGCCTCCCAAAATGCTAGGATTACAGGCGTGAGCCACCAGCCTGGCCAATACCCCTTTTAAATGACTGTTATGATTTGGTGGTTAAAAGTCCAGGCAGATCTACCTCCAGAGTCTGGCTTTCCCACTTAGCCATGTGAACTCAGGCAAGGGCCTTCTCCTCTCTATGACAAGTCTCAGGGGTAAATAGTCCAACTACATTGGGCTGCTGGGAAGACTCCCTAGCCAAGGGGTATGGCCACTGTCCTAAGAACTCTGCATGTATTCTGACTTATTTCAGTCTTAAACATGGCTTTACGGGTGGATTACTATTCTCATACCCATCTTTCAGAAAAGGAAACTGACACCCAGAGAGCTTGTCTAGTGTCACATAGCTACAAAGTTTAGAAGGATAGGAGGCCAAGGTAGGAAGATCACCTGAGTGAGTTCAAGACCAGCCTGGCCAACAGGGTGAACCCATCTCTACTAAAAATACAAAAATTAGCCAGGGGTCATGGTGCATGCCTGTAACCCCAGCTACTCAGGAGGCTGAGGTACAAGAATCACTTGAACCTAGGAGGTGGAGGTTGCAGTGAGCTGAGATCGTGTCACTGCACTCCAGCCTAGGCGACAGAGAGAGACTCTGAAATAAGACTGAAATAAGAATACATGCAAAGCTCAAAGTTCTTTAATTTGATAAAGAGGGCAGTTTGGAGAGGGGTGATGGAATAGTGGAGCCTTGGAAATGCTTTCTAGCTTTTGTTTTCTGGGATAAAAGGCCTCAGTCTTCTAGCCTGCAGAATAGAGATTGAAATGATTCTGTTGGCTGGCGTATAGGGAGGATCGATGAGGCAGTTTGCACCTGTTGGGCTCTGAGGATGGGCTGGCACCCCTGAGTGCCTTTGTAGGTGCAGAGCAGATCGGAAGGGGCTGGGCAGGTGGGCGCATGGGCAAGCATTACCTGTGCGGACTCAGGAGGGAGGCTCGCTTTGGCCCAAGCTCAGCTTTCCCAGCCTGGTGATCTCAGGCATGGGCTGTCTCTGGCTTAAGCCTCAGTCTCATCATCTGTCAAATGGGAACCCATGACCATACTCAGGGTGTGACAAGGAGTCCGTGAGTCAAGCAGGCAAAACCACTTGGCACAGATCTCAGCAAAGAGATAAATCTGAGCTGCTATTAATATCATCCATCCACTCAGTATACAGGATTTAGGAGAGGCAGGACTGCAAACTATCTTGCAGGGTTTTTGCAAACTTTGTTGACTCACAGTGAGAAATACACTTACATCATGATGCAATGAATGTATTAGGTTGGTGCAAAATTCATTGCGGTTTTTGTCATCTAAGGCAATGGCAAAAACCGCAGTTACATTTGCACCAACCCAATACAACTGAAATAAAAGTTTCATGAAGCCACGCTTCATGCCTATCTTAGTCTACATTATGTCGACACTACAT